TCTGTTTAAAATCTGTTTTTCCGTTAATCAGCTGCCGCCCCCATACGAACGACAACTCTCAGAAGTTGAGAAACGTGTGCGAGCTAAGGACTAACGAGGTCTTACCTTTTAACGTGTGATTCCTAACACGGAATCAAATCAAAGTGGTTTTCTACCCTGGACCTAAAGAGGAGTTACTGTCAAGCCGAAGTTCTTTCCGAGGCTGGCCTATCTCCAAACATGATGCAATCCTCTAAGGTTATTGGGCGCGGATTAGAAAAAGTACATGCTAACCATACGGTTAGATAGAAAAGACACGGACACTGTGTCCGAATGAGATTATGTGTAGTTGTACTAACCCTGGAGGAAAAATAAATTTGTTCCAAGCAACAAAAAAAAGGCACTTGATGACTGTCTGTAGAAATGAATGGCTAGGTACATCGAATCTAACTAACCCTAAGGAGCAAACCATTAGTCATCGGTAAGGTGTCACCCGTGAAGAGTACTCTTAAATGACTTCTACTCCCAAGGTGTCTGTATCCGTGCCGAAAGGATATAGGACAAGATCACTCATCGCTACTAACGAAATCTGCGAAATACTGGGTGCCATCTCGTCGGCTCTGTTGTGATGGACTTTCTTTTCCTAGCTACTCGTGGGACCCTTTATGGACCATAAAGTAACTAAAGATTCCGACCTTGAGTCTACAGAGGAGGTGGACGTCGACTGAACGGCCCCAACTATCCTCTTCGTAACATCGGATCAAACAAGAAGTTATCAGTTATCCAAATCTTGTTAAAGAAACCTCTAGGAGGCTAGGCGACTAGTAGCCTTCATCAAGAGCGGGATATCTTATGAATCTACCGTACACCACAAGCAGATAAGCAAACGTTCACGCCCAAACGATTCACCAAAATTGTGGCAAAAAAAAAAACGTTGAGGGAGAAATCTTACACCTTGAACATCTGACAACCTCAAAATCGACCAATGAATGGGAATATCTTTAGTATGCCATTATAGCTGCCAAAGCTGATATTCCAGAAGATTATGAATATGAAAACGCTTGAGAAAGCTATTATAAAGCACGTTGCATTTTTATGAATTGTCCTGTGAAAATCTCAAAATAAAGTGATAGTCGAATACGTTATGGATTTTCATCAAGTATCACCAATTCCATCACATATTCCAGAATATGCTACACAGCTGCACATTCCGACCTGGATGGCTACAGGTTACCTGAGAGGAGTGATCACGTTAGCGTCTTCTGGCTAATGGATACAGTTAATGCCCTGCAGCCTTGGGAGGGTGTCTCCCTAAAATGTGTTATAGGTGACTTACTTTTAGCAGAGCACTGACTTTTTGACTGCCCCGCCGTGGATCTGATCAGGGTTTCAGCATGTGGCAGAGTTCCACTCTTGCCAGCTGACCTGAAATATTATTATTCGTTAAGATGATGGATTCATTTGGTCAAGTTTGTGTGAGTGTAAGACACAACTAACACTTGCGGGTTGCAGTAGAGGGTCAAATAGACCCTCAAACTTATTATTTGCAAACGTAATAATTTAGTTTTCAGCATTTAAACCCTTAAACTAAACAGGAATTGATGAATAATCTAGTGATTATACCATCGGTAATTTTTTGCAGGTCGGCCTACCAGCGAAATCTGGAGTGAGCGGGGCAATGTTGGTAGTGGTCCCAAATATCATGGGAATGTGCCTATACTCTCCACCTCTAGACGCCCTAGGAAATAGTTGCCGTGGAGTACAATTTTGCGAGGTTCGGTGTATATTATAGCACTATATTCTTATCAAAATGTTGTATGTTGCAGGAACTAGTCAAGAAATTCAATTTCCATAGATACGACAATCTGAGGCATGCTTCCAATAAATCAGACCCTCGGAAACATAAATTCGAAACTAAAGGCCTTAACATAGTCAATTTGCTTTTCTCGGCTGCGTCAGGAGACTTACAAGGTCTGAGAAGGTACGTAAGAGTATAAATTAAAAATGCACCAATAAAACTCATTATCATGTTATCATAAATTTCAAGGAATCACTTTCACTACAGACTGAGACTATGAAAAAACTATTATTCCAGCATATCTCGTAACAATATCATAAACATCAAAACTGAGCTGAATGTGTTACATGAAGTAGAATTTAAAAAAAAACCAGGTTCGAAACTAAAAAAGATCTACTGGTCATTCTAACTGCCCCTATAACATATGTGCATGGTATCGAAAAAAGAACATATTTCAACTTGAGTCTAGTAGGAGATATGACAGGAATATTTTTTCACAGGAATATTTTTTCTTGTACTGCAACTTTCAGAAGCAATGCTGCTTACACGTTTGTGTGACAAAGGAAGTAGCAATCAGTGTCTCCAAGATCCATATGACAGCTAACATGATATCAATTAGTGTAGACACATGAATATTGCGATTAGTACTAACTTCGAGGGGTTATGAACAGTTACAACGTACGAGCTACGGGAAGATGGCAATTATTCCCAAAAGATTTCAAACAGAAAAGCATATTATAGAGAAAATTCAGGTAATCGCTCTTCATCAAACTGATCGAGTTCGCCAGAAGAATCAGCATTCCGGGATCGAATAGATTAGGGTTATGAACAAAAGTCTTTCTGTATCTTTACTGATTTATCTCTCTTTCGTTTCAAATCTACCAATAAGTTTAGACAGGCGGAGTCCGAAACCGATTACGTGGGGCAACGCTGCATTTTTATGCCGAATGAATTTCATATTCAGTAGTTGATTAATGTTAAATGATCAGGAAAATGTTTCCGTACCTGCGGTGGAGCTAAAGGAGTCAGCAGGTGAAAATCCTCGAAAAGTTATGGTTCGTGCCGTGTCAAAACATTTTCAGATCATTTTAACTGAATAGTGATAATCAGCTACTTTGGAAAGAGGAGTTTCTCCACATCAGTCACTTCTATGAATGATATAAAAAATTGTAATCAAGTCATTTATACTATGAAAAAGTGACGATCATTACACTCACGAACATTCAGCTGAGGACGGTTTCCAATTTTTTCAACAATAAAAGTAATCAATAACTCAAGCTTAATCAATATTGAGTTATTATAACGAAAATAACGCTATTTTATGTTTTGACTTTTCTTGTTTCTCTATTTTGATTTCTTCTCCCACTTATTCGTGAGTCAGGTTTTATTTCTGTATATTTTCATATGCCACTGTTTCCTTTTGCTATCTATTGTTTTTACTTCAATTTTTGTCCAGTGTTTGATTTTTGCTACCAGTAAATGCATGGCCTGGCCCTTCTCTTACTTTTCCATTTTTCACACTGGTCCTGATTTCCCTTTCTTATGTTTCAATATATGTTCAAAGAATGTATTCGTTACTATAAGGTTATTCATTATGCAAAAGTCGAACATTCTGGTCCCATTAATATGATACAGATTGAAATTGAAACATAGGGAATTTTTATTGTTAAGTTGAATGTATGAGGGTGTGATGATCGTCTCTTCATTTGCCAAAATGTCTACAACGCTCACATTGAAACTTTTCTTCATTGTGGAATAACTTATCATTTCAATCATTTAAATTATTCTTTTTGAAATCATTAGCAACATTTCTTTGTTTTCAACAAAATTTGTTGAATAGTTTCTGAATATATGATATGATAAACAAAGTTTATTACGATTCAGTTACTTGAATATCAATACATAATTTCAATACTAGCAGCTTGAATATTACTGGAGTTTTTTCCAACACCAAACCGTTATTTTAACACCTCGACACGTGATTCGATCTCCAAGTGATCGTCTTCAAGAGGAAGATCAAACCCTTTACGCAGCCGTAATATCTAGTCATCAGAGATATCAATTCAGGATGTATAAACCTCTGAGGAAACTAGCCACTCGAGGCAGCGAAACGTCAGGAAGAAATTTCAAAAATCCACGCCCTTCAAACCCCGCAAACAATGACACTGATTTATTAACATATTTATTTGAATGATACCAAAATATCATTGTCAGTAATTAATTTACATTACTTAATCTATATTCAAATCAGACATTTGCTTAATATTTATGAAATTTCTTAAATGTAAATGAACTGTTTTTTCAGTGGAGAGCGCAGCATGTTTATGACGCTAACTGGCGCTCTTATCTCCATTAAATATGCGACTAACGATTTCCTTCGTTAGTTTTAAACTTCAGCTGCCTGAATTTCAGAAGGTATAAAGTGACTCGATACTCAAAATTTATTATATAGTTCATACACGTGCCTGACGTAGAATCCCCTCTCTTCCATACAGCTAATTATTGGTACGGTATGATTTAGCTCCACCGCCCCTGAGAAATTAGAATTTTTAAGTATTACGGGAAAACCAATGTTATGATTTTCACTCGGTATGAAATGTCTTGTTCAATGTAACCTTACCTCCCGATCTATAATTTTTTTATAATGAATAGAGTAAACTACTTTCCTTCTCACGTTTCTACCAGCTCTGAAATGCTTTTTTATTATTTTTGCAGGCACAAACTATCTGGAATGGATATGACCTTATCTGACTACGATGGCCGAACGGCCCTACATTTAGCCGCTTCTGAAGGACACCTGGATTGCGTTGAATTCCTACTCAAATACTGCCAAGTACCTTATTCCGTAAAAGACAGGTGGGGCAGGACCCCAGTCGATGAAGCCTTATCATACGGCCACACAGCAATCAAGGAGATGATTCAGCTTTGGCATGCTGAGGTTGTCAAAAAGGAAACACAGAAAGAAGAAATGGAATTTGATGATGATATCCACGCACCCAAATTCTCAGAAAGTGACAAGACTCGTTAGATTTTCATCGAATCATGAGGAACAGTAATCTCTCAAAGCGAAAAATATAGCTCCTTCTCAGGTCCTGGCTTTTATCATAGGCTGTTCCTATAATGATATAATTATTTTTAATCACTCTCTATTTCAACGGTATTAAAACTAGAGTTTTCCACAATTTTTTGTGATTGGTTCATGAAGCAAACTTTTAATGTTTTTCTTAAAGAGTGTTAACGATGGCGCCTTCTGAAAGCATATGCCTCTTATGCATCAATCGCGCATCACCTGGTCGTGGCTATTAAATTATGTGGCCTGGACTTACAGGGGCATCGGGACAGGCGTTTCGAAAGTGCACCGACTCAAATCGACTCTTTCATGTATGCGATTATTAATCGAGTTGCTATCTCAGTAGAGTTATTAGTTGTCCGAATGTGTATACAATATTGATACAATTTGTTCTTGTTCAAAGCCAAAACCTTGCATCAACTCCACATTTTTTTATCAACTCCATGAAGAAATAAGACGAGACAATGAGTGCGCCAGAGCCCGGAGGATCCTTATACAACTCAGTGGATGGAAAATCCAATATGTTTGCCGTTGACAATACATGCATCCATTTTTTATCAAGAGACACTCGTTTGTGTAGGAAGATGTCAACTCATCGACTCATCTATTTCAACAGATTTTATTTGAAGCAGACACACGACAAGAACCGCTTAAACAATAGCAAAATAGTATATAAAAATGTTGCGAATATTTTCTTATTGCGAAAAGGGGCCTTAGACGATGTTTCAGAAAACACCGTGATTTTGTCGAAATATGACAGACGACTAAAATCGTATGCATAAAAAGGCCACACGGTTTTGTTGAAAAAAATCTTAGATTCTAGTCATGCATCAACAAAGCCAAAATTCTACGTAACGTGGGTAATAAATTTTCCGTTCTTTAAACATAAGTAAAACCGATCATATTTCCTCTCAGAGCTAATGGAAAGAAAACTCATTAGGGTTATATTGAGATAGCTCATTTCAGAAAATGCTGTTAAAATGCTTCAAAATTTAACGAATCGAAGTGCGCATAGGAAGTATATTAACTTGAAAATGAAAAAACGTATGCGTTTCGGGACGCCCGACAGAAGTGATAACGTAAACTAATGTAAGTTGAACTATTCAATATTGGAATTGTTCAACTTGAGAAAAGCTTAGATCATTTCTTAAATTTTATGTATAGTAATATGATGATGTAAAGAAAGGTTATTTATTAATAAAATATGGTTCATGAACCGATTATAACAAGAGATGATTTCACCATTTTCATCTTGATTTTTTCTAATAAAACTTTGAGACATTTTCCAATTCTAAGCTATAATTGAAAAAAAAACAATATGAAACGGTTCGATATTTTATTTCGAGTGTTTTACAAGGACGGTGGTAATTATTAATAATCATACACAGGGCTATTCAAAATCGATTCTATGTATGAGGCCAACATTGATTTAAAAATACAGGTCCGTATTCAAAATTTCAAAGTCGAGGTTTCCCAGAGTCTGACGACACCCTGTGTGAAAATTATATGATTACATTTGACGAATGTCAAAGTGTAAACAGATTTTCAATATATCTGCAACTAAAGAAGATAGTAAAAAAATAGAATTTCGAATGATTCGTTTTTTTTCGTATATAAAGTAAAAAGACTATTAGAGTCGGTCAAGTGGTATCACTCAATAGTACCAATAATAGACAAATTTGCCACAACTCTCTACCTCATACTGTTTTCGAAATCTCTATGCATAGATTCGAATTTGACTAAAACAATAATATAAGGTTCAATTTTTGAGGTTGTGCTAAACTGACTTGAGAGGTGATAAATGGTTGTGATAAATCAGATTTTGGAGATATCTTCTGGTGTAGCATCCGGAAATTGCACTCTTTACTATAAAGGCGTATTCATACTCACTCATGAACACGCTATTGTATAGTGAAATACGTGTTGCGGGTTTGAAAACTGTTCAGTGAAATCTCACGATAAAGTGTTACTTGAATCCTTAGAAAACATTCAAAACTGAAATGACACCTTTCATATTGTATTGTTCAGCAAAAAACTGTTTACAACAATTTTGATCTATGGTCATAGATGTCATATGACCATAGATGGTCATATGGTCTATGTGTTATATATAGGTTCAGTAGTGCTTATTGAGTTACAATAGAATAGGGAAAATCATTGAACAGTGCGCATGCAAATATTTCCAGTTGCATAGTTTATCGCACAAATCATAACACATATTGCGAAAATTAAGAGAAATCACTGTTCAAGGTTATTAACCCCAATTGTAAAAGTTTTATATGGGCCAGTTCAGTCCTGCATTTTTTATGGAAACAGGCGTAAAGATGAGGATACACAGTGCATTCGAAAACGTTTTCGGTTATTTTAGTTATACCCATAGAATGGAAAAGCATAAATACAATGGCATGAATGTTGTCATAGCACTGATATATACCACATTCTTGTCAACATCTTCAATTTAGAAATTTTGAAAGGATGAACGATAAAAATTCTAGAACGAGATAAAACAAAAATATGTTGTAGGATTGTCAATTGAAATGTCAAATATTTAACTTGAATGGAGCATAGAGAATAGAGAACTGGGAATTTACTTTTCTGCTATATGTTACTTGATGCCATTCCAGCTTCAGAAGTCCAAATCGATTTGACTGTGAGATTGTTTCGTGAGTGTGTTTGGTCAGAAATGAGTCTGAATATTCTCACACTAGTAATAGTTTGACGATGTAATCTAGAACTGATTGAATTATCTCAAAACAGATATTATGTACGTTTTTTGATGCAATATACTTCTACATGACAATATGACTGCAGTTTCCTTTATTGAAACAATTCACATAAATACACGAAAACTGGAATATTTTCTTTATAAATAAGTGGCATTCGCTCATTTTACGGTGGTTCCTTTTATTAATACGCTTTTATTAGCTTCACTTGTATGTTTGTTTGTAACCGACTCTTTTGGACCCGACTGACTGAGTACGTCACCGTAGATGAAAAATTAGAAGGATTTAGGGGCAGATATAGTTTTCGGCAATACATACCGTCGAAACCAAATAAATACGGTATCAAAATTTTTGCACATTGTGACGCCAAAATGTTTTATACCTGTTATTTGGAGGTCTATGTAGGTATACAACCAGATGGCCGTACAAAAAAGATAATACTGCCAAATCCATTGTAGAACGTTTGTGTGAACCTATATTTGGATCAAAACGTAATGTAAGAACTGACAACTGGTTTACGAGCTTGGCTCTTGCGGAATAAAAATTTTCTGCTAATTTCTTCTCTCTTACCAGTTACTGGTAAGCCAGAAATTATTGAATGGCATAATACTATAAAATGTGGAGTAGACGTGGTGGACCAATATTGTGCTCAATAACGTTGAGAAACACGAGAAGATGGCCACTCGTTATAATTTACAGTATGATGAAGGTTGCTGGGCTAAACAGCCTTATAATTTATTCTGAAAATAATCCCACTGCCAAAATAAAACGCAGACATTTTCTTCTAGAACTGGCACAGTCATTAGTATATGTGTTGCGTCTTCATTTGTAATTTTCTATTATTATTAGTATTATTATTGTTGGCATGGATCGACTCCTAAGGGTGCATGCTCAAGACTGGATTGAAGTATGCTTATCCATCTAAACCATATCAATAGAGACCTACCTACGATCTCATGCTAAGTACGCTACGTGATTCGCTATTTTTTTGCTAATTACATACTTATTTCGCCGTGTGTGCTCTAGACTCTGTGTCATCTTCGACTGTTTGGTAACTCATTTTAACTTCCCGTTTTGTTGTACAATCCAGTGAAGCTGAAGGAAGAACATTCCAAGAAAACAGAGATTTGTGCGAAGAATTCGGTGAGTTCGCTTTATGCCAAAATTCTTACAGTCCACTCTTGTTTTCATTTTTATTATTTTTCAAGTATTCGAAGACGCGACATTGATCCATCGAACCGAGATTAGTTTTTGATTAGTGGTACCAGTGTTGCCACAAGCTATCTTTTCATCGAGGTAGACTTCTGAAAGGGAGCGAGGTAGAACCGGGGTGGATTCACATTCACTTAATGACACCAATCACAGTGATGCATTGACGTATACCTATGATTGTCGTTCTTTGTTCTATGATCAATTTGATGATCGTAATCAAAAACATAAGTCACATGTCATCGCATCCAAATTTGGGATCAATGTGTTTCCAAACCATTCCTCGAAAATATTAGCTTCCATGGTCTTATGATAGTCAACATTGCAGTCCTCAAGTTTTTTTCCATATCACTTGAAAGAATTCGGACCCATACTTTACATCCTCCGCAATGAACAATGATTAGTCGCGATCCTTTGTTTGCAGGCTTGTTAGATGTATACATTCTCGAACCATCAGTCCACCCTTTCGTAACTGTGTCGTGAGTTTTATACCAAGTTTCGTCCAAAAAGAAAATTGGCCGTTGTTCTTGTCTATAATTAGTTATTTGTTTTGAGTATTTGTTACGCAATTCCACTATTTTTCTGCTTTCCATAACTGTTTGACGTATGTTTATTATTTTAAATCTAAATCCTAGTTTCTTTATCCAATTCTGAAGAGTTTTGTCACAGCAGCTCACGTTATGGCCGGAAGTATTCTATTTCTTCCTTATGATTTCTGTTGTAGGATTCTCATTCTGATTTTATTAAATGAACATCTGAAGGTTTTGGTAATCCTGTATCACATCGCGTCTTGCGTTCATTAGGTTTGTTTTTTCTATTTTACGTACAGTTGAGAAAGGAATTTCGGTCAAATCTGATGTTACTTAGAAGTTTCTTTCCCTCGAAACCAAACTTGAGATGTATTTCTTATATACATTGAAACATATTCTCTGTGTTTTAATATTCAAATGCTTCCGAATCTTATTCACTGGTATCTCTTTTTCGCATTGTTCACCATCGCTATTGGAATCACTACACTGGAAAAAGTCTGTGTTGTTATCACACTCGTTATTACTATTAGTACTAGTCCAAGGACGCCACATTTTGAACAGATAACAAAAATTTTAAGTAATTATAACTGCACCAACATTGAATTTTCACACTCAAATCGCGATCAGTTCCTGAATTGAACACGACGGTAATAACCAAAGGCCGCATTGCCAGATTTCTATTCATTAGCGTAACATGACTAAATTTAATTTTATAACTCTTCAGCCAATCACAAAACTCGGTTAGTAAAAATTATCCAATACAAACCGCCAAGGCTTTACAGTCCACGTGGACTAGTTTGCTGCCGGTTCATTTCTATGTGTTGGTTTTTTTGGCCTTTGAGAGTGCGGACAACTTTAAGAGTGCACAATAACGGTTACTTCGACTATACATATACCTACATTCATATCACAGACTGAGATTGCACATAATATAAACATTTCCATATTTACATTCTCAAACTTAACTAAAAATGTCGAATGTCATGTCACAAACATCAAATAACATTTCACACGCACATAGCATGATCACGGCACTCGGTATCATTGGAAGAGCAGAAGAGCATTGTAGTGTAACTCAGTACTCAGTCACAGAATATCGAAACTATCGGTGTAAGAGTCTTACAGTAAGACAGAACCCAAGGAACCACCGCCAGCGGCGCCAGACACTGAGTCTACGCCAACTTTGCCACGGGTACTCGGCTCGTGTAACGCGGTAGATTCAAAATCAAACCTCAAATATTTGTTAATTTTTTCAATTTTAATTTAACATTCTTTTGCTTTATAAGTGAGCGGGGTAGATTTACTTAAGAGGAGCGAGAGGGTGAAATTAAGTACAAGAGGGGTAGAACTACCCAGTACGGGGTAGCTGTGGCAACAGTGGTGGTAACGCTCACAGTTCCATTCCATTCATTCAGTCAGGCGCAAAGGAGTGTTGAGAGATCGTAGTGGGGATATCGCAGTATACAAACATTTAGGTGTCAGTTGTTTCTTTATCACGAACAGTGAATCTATAAAAAAAGCATTTGTTTTTCTCTTCATTTTATTACATTCGCTTCAGATTGTTTACAATTTGTACTGGCTTAGAGTTCAATAATGGCAGATAAATTGAAAAGGTACAAGGCTTGGCGGACTAGCGCACTTAACGAAATTTATTCCTTGCAGGGAATCGCAAATTTGGCAAAGACTAATAAATCTCAACATACTTTGTTCAAAATTAGAAATGCTGAGATAGACACTCTCAGAGATGAATTCATGAAACATCATATACTATTTTGGTTAGTTTATCTAGCGATCCAAACTTCGATCTGGATCAGGAAAATACTTCAAAGGAAATGCTTCTTTGTTGTCCGATTGTTATATTGATGACATCGTAACAGGTCATGCGACGTTTGAAGGTGCTTTACGTCTTCAAAAAGAGTTGATAACTCTATTGAAGAAAGGAGGTTTCGATCTACGTAAGTGGTCGAGCAATGAGCCCTCCCTACTGTCTCATTTACCCAAATCATTTTTAGACACATCTCCAATTTCTTTTGATCAGTGCCAAGAAAGCTTCCATAAAATTTTAGGATTATTTTGGAAATGTTCTGAAGATAATTTTTCATTTTTAGTTGAAGTATTGAATAGACCTTGCACGAAGCGAAATTTACTGTCCGAACTTGCTCGTGTATTCGATCCATTGGGAATTCTTGCCCCTATAACGTTTTCAACAAAATATCTTATTCAACAGTTATGGGTTTCAGGTTTGGACTGGGACGAAACTCCCAATGAACGAATTATTCAATATTGGTCACGGTATAAAGAAGAATTGAATTCACTGTTAGGAATTCAATTACCCCGCAGATTATTACACAATATTCATTTAGAATGTGAACTACATGGTTTTTGTGACGCTTCCGAAAAAGGTTATGCTGCTGTCATTTATTTTCGTGAAATACAAAATCAGAAATCGAAGCTATATTTTGTCTGTGCAAAATCGAAATTGCCCCTCTCAAGCGCATATCTATTCCATGTCTGGAGTTGTGTGCTGCTGTACTCCTCTCTTCTTTAATGTCATTTGTCCTTAGTGTATATTAAGGTAAATTTAAAATCAGTTCTATTTGGGCATGGGCAGATTTGGAAATTACTCTTGCATGGATTAAAGCTTCTCCACACAGATGGAAAACTTTTGTGAGTAATAGAGTCACATATATTCAGGATAAAGTGTCCCCTGAATTATGGCATCATGTTGATTCGAACGAGAATCCTGCTGATATAGCATCTCGTGGCCTTCTTCCATCTGAGTTGCTAAATCATCGTCTATGGTTTCAAGGGCCCACTTTTTTGTAAAATTTTCAGAGTAAGTGGCACAAGTCACATTTCAAAATGTATACCAAGAATGAAGAGGAACGCAAACTTGGTTTGTTATTAGTAAATCGATCACACTGTTTGAGCGAAATAATAAAAGATATATCATCATTCGGAAAATCACAACGAATTTTAGCATATTGCCAACGATTCATTTTCAATTCGAAAAATCCGAGAAGCAAATTGTCTGGTTCTCTTTCCTCTAAAGAGCTTCAAAACTCAACGAAACTTCTTGTTAAACATACTCAACAACTAGTATTCTCAAAAGAAATTGAATCACATAATTTTTCAAAGCCGCTCAAAACATTGAATATATTTAGAATACATTTCAGAGTGGGAGGTAGATTAACAAACTCTAACCTATCTTACGATAACAAACATCCGCTTCTTTTACCTAGTAACTCAAATTTCACTTATTTAATAATAGAACATTTTCATAAAAAGTATTTCTATGCAGGTATACGAACTGTACAGTTCTTACTATCTCAACAATATTGGATTTTGGCATCAAAACGCGTAATTCGCAAAATTTTGTCTCGATGCATGGCATGTTGGAAAACGCACCCTGTATCATCACAACCTCCCATGGGGAATCTTCCTCTACCACGCATTTCACAAATTAAGCCCTTTTCTAACGTTGGTGCGGATTATGGTAGTCCACTTTTTATAACTATGAATAAACGTAGGGGATCAAAAATTATCAAGGCATACTGTATGTTTCGATACAAAGGCGATTCACATCGAACTCGCTTCAGATCTTTCGAGTGACGCATTTTTAGCAGCTCTTCGCCGTTTCGTAGTTCGTCGAGGACGATGTTCTTCGATAAGCAGTGATTGCGGGACAGTTTTCATTGGAGCTTGTAGTCAACTTAAACTTTTACAAGATGCCGTGTCCTCTGAGAATATTGAATTTCACTTCAACCCACCTTCACCACCGCACTTCGGAGGTATATGGGAGGCGAGAATCAAATCAGTAGTCATTTGATTAAGACAATCGGAGAACAGGTTCTGACATATGAAGAACTTTATACGGTGCTAGTTCAAATCGAATCATTATTGAACTCTCATCCATTAACATCTTTAAGTTCAGATCCTAATGATATTTCAGTTCTAACTCCCGGCCATTTTTTAACTTCAGTATCCATGTCTGCCGTTCCCGTCTCCGATCTCACGTCAACTCCTTTGAACCATTTATCGCGGTGGCAATTACTCCAACGAATCCATATAGGTATCCCATACTATATAAAAATTAATTTCACAATATTGCTTATCCAAATTTATTTTTGTAATGTGTCCTTATGTAGTAATCAGTAAACCCAACAACATTATTTTATTTTATTTTAACAAGCTATATAGTATGCTCTTTGGTATAGGTCAGTCATCGTTATTCATAATATTATTGTGTTTACTTATTTTTACACTCTCATAGGCATCTAGTTGCCTGTTGTTGTTANAAAGAAACAAGCACGTACAGGTATATTCCTGACAGTTCACATCACTGTGGACAGCACAAACGTGCTGGGTTGAATTTTTTAGTGCATCGTCTTTTGACTTTCCCTCTAACACATGATAGGTTCACAAAAGAAAGACGTACAATACAGGAAATAGCAGCCACTTACGGTTTCTCGAAGGGTATTGTAGATGACATAATAAGGAAGAAGAAGTTTAGGTTAAGAATGAGAAATCTCGACTTTCCGAAAGGACAAAAACCAAGATAAATACATCCCAGTTCCATATCATCAATATACGAGGAACTTTGGAAAAATTTTCAAGGAACTAGGTACGAAGGTGGTTTTTAAAACAAGTCATACACTACACTTTTGGGCCAAAAGTCCAAAAGACAATGTCGATAATTCGGAAAAGTCTGGAATTTACGAAATTGAATGTAAGGACTGCGATGCAAAATATTATGGACAGACAAAAAGATTTATTAAAGTAAGATATAAGGAACACGTAGCACACTCAAAATATGGAAGACCTGAAAAATCAGCAGTCGCCCATCATATTTTGCAACAAAACCATTCCATAGACTTCAGTTATTAAGATTAGTTAGACAAGTTAACAACAACAGGCAACTAGATGCCTATGAGAGTAGAGAAGAAATAGGTAAACAAAATAATATTATGAATAACGATGACGGACCTATACCAAAGAGCATACTATATAGCTTGGGTTTACTGATTACTACATAAGGACACATTGCAAAAATAAATTTGGATAGGCAATATTGTGAAATTAATTTTTATATAGCTGAAAATTGTTTAATATAATCATATATTGTAAAATAATAGATAAGGCAAAATTGTGAAATTAATTTAGGTTGGTATACCTGTATGGGTGGTACGCCTGGATGATTTACCTGAATGGGATACCTATATAGCAAAAATAGGGTTAGCCCGCATTAGTTTCTGGTTTTAATCTTCCTTATTGAAGATGATCACTTGGTGATCTAAACACGTGTCGAGGTGTTAAAAATAACGATTTGGTGTTGGGAAAAACTCCAGTAATATTCATTACTACACCAAAGATTCCAAACAGTTCATCATAAGTACATTTAAAGAGGATAACTCCTCACTGATATAAAGAAGATTATTGAATAACTAAAAATCGCTATTTGTTTTAAATTTATGGATAACCGGTAAAAGTTTGAAAAAATTGTGTTTGTTTGTCTATGTTAAAACCATGGATCAAATGAGAACTGTTCTTAGTAGGCCAAAATACTAACATCTCTGTTAGGAATAACGTTTTCAAAATGAATTATTATACACACTCATTTTATATTTACATTGTAACAGAAATGATGGTACATTGACATTTAACAAATACACACACGAATACAATTGAAAATAAAAGTGAAATCTACTATTTCAACTGATTACAAATGGCTATAGTGGCTTCATTGAATATTTTGCAAATTTATTACGGGATTCATTTCAAAAATTATTTTTCTATTCTGTATACCCTTTTGGACGCGCCAATGGATCTAAAATCAATCATAATCCCAACGGTAATTACGAGGAACACCTGCTTGATCATTTATTAAAATCAATGAATACTGTATATAACCTCTTGATAAGTTATAGTTTCATTACTGTTTCAATCATGAAGCTCAGTGGGTTGGTAATTCTAGCGATAGCCCTGTTCTCAAAGGGAATTTATCTGGAATCTAACAAACATGCCAAAAAGAGGGCTTTACAGAAATCCCACGAAAAACCTCGTGCAGAAAAATGGGCCGATTCCTTTCAGAAGAAAAGGAAAACCGAAAGTCATGACTACATTGTAAAACTGTTGAAAACCATCGCGAAAGAATATTTAACAGAATGCACCCCCGTTATTTTATTTGACGTCTTCACAGAGCAGAACGACAGGTTTTTACTGGAAAAGATCTTAACGAATTTTTCCATGCCTCACGTACATGGCAGAATATCTGACGACTATAAAATAACTCTGAAGGAATCTAGAAAAAATATTGTACCGACTTGCGTCAGTTACATACTCTTCATGAAAGATGTCATGAAATCTAAAGAAGTCATTGGAGAACAGAGCGAAGATCGGATAGTTGTTGTGTGCAGATCATCTCAATGGAGGGTTATTGAATTTTTATCCAACGAAATTTCAAGAAGCTTTGTCAATTTATTAGTTATTGTAAAATCCGAGAGAATAATGCCAACAGACGAGGTAACTATGTTTCGTGTCTTTCACTCGCATTAAGTGATAAGCTGTAACCAGAGTGCAGAAACCCAAAAATTCTCAAATTCAAAATATTCGAGAAGTTTGAAATACATTGAAAATATTCATTCGACCAGACTAACAAACTAACCAAACTTTACGTAGCTTTTGCTTCATACTGGTACAATTTTGTCATAGAACGTTCAGAACACATCTGTATGTTTCTTGTGAATAAAAAGATTATATTCAGAACGTTCTGAGACTGGTGCCTGTGTGACACTAGCCATTTACATTAGACTCAAACCGCTGTATATTACATACATTTGTAAAAACCATCTAGGAAAGTTTGCTCCACAAAGACGCCGTTTTCCAAATAGAGAATTATAAAAAATGTGGTTCAAAGTGTAATAAATTGAATATTGAAGCGATGGAAAACTGTAAGGTTGCTTGCTGTTTGGGCCTCCATTCAGGTAGATGACTCTTTGATGAATATAATCTAAGCTTTATAACACATTAAAAGTTTTTGAGGTATGAACAACATTCTAGATCGAAATTATGTTCAGAAGATGACTATCCTCAAATATCGAAGATAAACGAGACTCCCCCAAGGCGGTTAGTTGCAAAGCTGAGCTTCGACATTGATCGCCAAAAGAGGTTAGTTCTCTGCCTTTCACTTCAACAGAACTAGTTGAAACTAGAGCCCAGCTTTACAGCTGACCACCTCGAAGATTGAGTCTTCTGTCGATCCCATGGATGGTGTCTTCAAGAAGGAACATATCATCGCCTGTTCTTACTTTTTTTCTCAACAAAACAAATGAGCTGCCGAATAATCAGAAACATTCTCAATCTCGGTTGCTCTCGGTTGCCATTGAGAAATACATGGGTTTGGGTATATTTCTAACTTTGCAACTACGTGCGTAAAACGGAAATTAAATTTGCAATTTTGCAAATGCAAATTGATTATTTGCATTTTCACACTATCAAATTTACCTAAAGCAACAGAAGTACCTGTATTGAGGCGTTCGGACCGTATAAAAAGACACACAACAGGATAACACGTTCAGATAGAAGAGTGCCTAGAAGATGACAGTATTTATTGCATGTGTATTCACTGATCGGTTAGCTAAGTTTTGAGTTTGTTAATAATGGTAGCTCGTCCGTCAAACTGAAGATGCGTATGTTATCATGTGTTCGTCGAAAATTATTTATAGCATATATCACATTTGTTTCAGCCCCTACGTCTTTTCGTGTGTGGGTCTGCCCAGCAACAGGTCTAGCCTTGTCTTTTTTTGTATTCTTTCCAGATTCTCAAATAACACGTAATGGTGAGATTTTCACTGAATAGTTTTCAAATCATTTACATGTTTCACTACATAATAGCTTCTTCAGATGTGTTCAATACTGAGAAGTATGTTCAGTGTTCAATAATTAACACCCCTGAAAAAGATATTTTATAGTGAAATATGTTTTGAGGTTTTGTAAACTATTTACTGAATTTGCCCTCCACCCACCTACTAATAATATGTTTATGAAAATTTTTTGAGTGACCATTAATATGTTTTGGTTGGTTTCCGGGTTTTGCCGTGGTATTCTTTAGTTATTCCAAACGTTTCAACTGCAACTGCGGCAGTCATTTTCAGTGTCGTGGTCTTCGTGAACTATCAACTGAAACGTCAAGAAGAGTACTTCGACCATACCACTCAAGATGACTGTTGCAATCGAAACGTTTAGAGATCATCACATTAATTTTGGCATCCATTTATATATCCACCAATTGATATATTATGCTTATAAAAACCATCGATTTTTGGCTCTGATTTCGACTCATTCAATATTGTTTTCCTACTGAAGAAAACTTTGTATTTTACACTCAAAGAGAAAAAAAAACATTTTTAGGAAGCGCCTTATATTTTGTACACTCACAAGTTATATATCGATGCACTAGGCTCCAGCAGACCTGATGTTTTAACGAGCTTCCAAGCCGGGAAGTTTACAAGAAATGTGGATTTATTTCCCAAAAAAATGACCAGTGGGTTTTCTGGTCATAGATTCATAATATCCATAGCACAACAGCCACCATTTGTTATATTAAAGTAAGTTATTCAATGTTTCATTCAATACGATTAATCTTGCAGGGCTACGTATGCATATTTCAAACAAATCAGTTGAAAACTACAGTGATATTAGTTGGACAGGTACAGCCCCCAATTTTTTTTAATGGGAAGTTTAGACTTGTGATATATCATTGGCCTCTTCATTCTCCATTCAAAATTGTTATGCTTTCAAGTTTATTGCAACAATTGAGATAAAATAAATTAAAAACATGTGGTTACCTAAATTCGATAAAATACACTCAAAAACTAAAATTTAATACAAAACGTAATGAAATGTAGAATACGAAAAAGAACTATGGATATTAATCAAGTAGATGTTCAAAATGTTCACCGCGAACGTCTTCGCAACTTTCTAATCTCAATTAAAACTATTATATCTTCTTATATCTCTTCTTATATCTTCTAACATTATTTAACATATCAGGCGTGACCGACCTAATCACAAGCGTTATTCGTTCTTTTAAGTCATTCAAATCTGAAGGTTTAGTTTTGTACACATTGCTTTTTATATATCCCCATTAAAAGAAATCTAATGATGAAAGAGCAGGTGATCGCGCTGGCCATTCAATTCAAACCATAGCGTATTCACTGGAACTTGAGTGTTTCCTGGATCAGGATATAAATTTGCTAAACTGGGAATGACATCATTTTGAAGTAGTGTCAAATAATCATCGCCCTTCAAGTTGTCCTCATTAAAAAAAGGGACCAATGATATGGTTTCCTACAATCCCTGCCCAAAAGTAGTTGTTTACAGCTGATTCTCGGCCTCCCCCCACCACTATGACGTATTAATTGCTTTTTTTATTGGTTGTTGTTTGGTGAAGTTTTTTTGTTGTGCAGTGAAGTCAAGGCGTTGTGACCTTGAAGTGTCTGGTGCATGGATCGTTCAGAT